TGGGGTCCTGCTGACCTCATATACGTGGTAGAGGGAGGAACCCTCATCTGGCCAGTAGCGGTCACACTGCTTGACACCATCCTCCACCAGTGGGGTCAGCATGACAATGACGGTGCAGCCACTCTCCCACACCATCTGGGGACAGAGACCCAGGTGAGCTCCACTCTAACATTCCTGGGACCTGGCTGGCCCTGGCTAGCCACAAGGACCCTAGAGAAGTCCTTCCTCCAAGAACCCACCTGCCAGAAGTCTGCGATGGTATGGGACAGTGGGCCCTGAGTGGCTATGTAGGCTGGCATCCGAGGGTCATGCTCAATCTGGGGGCAGGGAAGATACGTCATGAGCCCGAATAGGAAATGCCACTAGGGAGAGGCTTGGCCAAAGGGAGGAGGGTAGGGTCTGGGAAGGCTGAAAATCCCCATTTCCATGCTAGGATATCAGGCCCCTCAATTGCAGTGACCACAGGGGAATGGAATGTATAGGGACAGGATAAAGATGGGGCGGGGGTGGGGGCTGGAGTCAGGAACACTCACGATGGGGCTGGCGTTGATGTAATCGCTCCGAGAAGGGCTGCTTTCCACTTTCAGTTTGATCCGGGCATGGTCATCTGCACGGACCCCGCATCCCACCCCAGATGGCCCTCTGGTCATTGGAGTCCTGGCACCTCTGCCACTCAGCCTGAACCAGGAGCCCAGCCCCTCTCCCAAGCCCTCCAGAGCTCCCAGCAGAGGCAGAGCTGGGCCAGGTTAGCCAGCAGGGCTCACTCACAGGGCAGGAAGTCAGGATGGCGGTTCTTTTTGACGTTGCCCTCCCCCTGCGCAGTGGCACAGGTGTTTGGCTCTGCTTGGTAGGCACACAGGGCCTGCCACTCCTTGGCCAGGCGGTCCCGGTTCCTCAGGTGGTCCTCCATGTACGCCTGCAGGGGCAGTACAGCCTGGCTCTGGCCCACCCTGCCAGTCCTGCCTCTCCTACCATGCTGTCCCCTCACCCCTCCTGGGCCCAGGCCCTGTCCTGACCAGAATCATGTGTCCCGTGGAGATGTCCATGTTGGCCTGGGCGGGCTCCTCGCACCAGGATGGGGTGCTGCTGTGGGAGCTGGGGCTGGCCTGGGCCGCGTCGCTGAACTGTGAGGACACACTGCTCACCCGCGAAGGCTCGGGTGGACCCTCTGCCCTGTTGAACAGGGACTTTGTGGCCATGTGCTGGCGGCATAGGTCCTGCAGAGGAAGGATCAAATGAGGTCCAAGAGTCCTCTGAAGACTTTCAACGGGGCCCTGGGTTCAAGTAAGGGCCCTGGGCTCACCCCCGATTGGTTTTAAATGAAATCCATCCTCTCTGGAGTAGGATACTCTGCCCTGGCCCTCATCCTTCTCAGGGCTGTTCTTCTTGGATGATGCTTATGACAACCTCAGATATGACAGAATGGAATCCCGGACCCCAGAGTCACAGCACTGGGAAGAAGCTTAAGAACCATCTGCTCCCAATTCTCATCCATTCAGAAACGCCCCCACAGTACCCCATCTGGGGCTCTGCAGCCTCCGCCTGGACGCTCCCAGGGATGGGTGCTCACTCCCTGTTCAGCTCCCACCCTCACTCCATGCAAGCCCCAGACTCCCAGGGCCCTTGCATTTCCTCTCAACAAGCTTCTGGGGCTGCACACCTGGTACTCAAAAGTAGTGTCTCCATGGGCCCCCTCAGGCCCCAGGGCTGCCAGGCGCTCCTTGTCCCGCTGCCGCGCATGCTGCCGCACACACAGAGCCACGGCCAGAGCCACCAGTAGCCCGGCCACGCCTGCCAGGGCCACCAGAGTGAGCAGCACTGAGCGCATGGGAGAGGTGCTGTGTGCTGTTCGGGGAAGGACCGCAGCTGCCTCCTCTCTCTGTGGGGACAAGGCTAGAATGAAGGGGGGCAGTGGCAGGGGGATTTTAGGAGCTGTCCCTCGCTCCTGTCCCATGCCACAGTCCCTGCTAGGACATCTGGGGCAAAGCTGGGAGGGTAGGGGTATGAAGGTGCAGGCAGAAGGGCTCAGATTCTCCTTCTCAACCCTCACTGGGCCAACTCAACCACACTACAGTGCCAGAGACGTAGCGGGTGACCCTCACCAGATGGAATATGTGCATTTAAACGTGGACATAGAGAAGAGGAGAGAGAACCCAAGGAATTGAATAGTAGAATGTGAGGCATCAGCGTTGGATGCGGAATAGAAACATTATTTTGAGTATAATGTCCTTTCTGTGCAAGGTTTTCCCTTGGAATTTAGAAACTTCGCTCCAGAAAGCTCAGCTGGTTCTTGCCAAGCACAGGAGAGCTTGGTCCTGAGGGAGGAGCCACCTGGGCCATCTGCTGGTCAGAAGGAGAACTGCAGGGGCAGGGCTGCTTGGGCAAAGGCACCGCCCACCAAGTACAGGAGGTTTCAGCTTCAGTTCTCCCGTCAGGTTTGCCTCCATGTCTTGTGGGCAACGTCAGCCTCTGGGGCTTTGACTGATTCTCCAGTTAGCACATACCTGTCCCACTCCTGTCTGCAAGATTTGGAGCCCTGTCTGTGCTTCCAGTTCAGACTTCACGAGCCCTGCGGGGAGAATGCAGGTCAGGCTCTCTCCAGCCTCATGTGGTCTCTACCCCAGGTTATGCTATGCCAGGTGGCAGGCAGGGCCCATGTCAGCTGGGATCATTTCAAGGGAGCATCGGCCACAAGGCTGGATATATTCTAGTAGGGGTGGGGCTGAGGCTGGGGCCAAGCCTGGGGCTGAGGTTGGGAAGGTATTTACCTGCTTGCTGAGTCACATCAGCCAAAGACAGGTTCTGCTCATTGTGCCGGATGCGGAAAGTGAGGGCTGGTCCCACCACACTGCCAAATAGGAGCTATGTTACTACCTTACCCACCCTAGACCCCAGACTCTAAAAGAAAGGCCAGCTCTGGCCCTGTCCCCATTAGCGCTGTGGTCCCCAACCTCCGGTATGCAGATCAGTAACAGTCTGTGGCCTGCTAGGGACTGGGCTGCAGAGCTCCACCACGCCCCCCACCACATGCATGGAAAAATGGTCTTCCATGAAACTTAGGAAAGTGGGGGATGGGGCGGGGTGGGGCAGGCACACAGCAGCAGGTGAACAGTGGGGCGAGCAAGTGACGCTTCATCTGTATTTACAGCCGTTCCCCATCGCTTGCATCTCTGCCCCCTCATTCCCCCTACCACACTCCCCCACCCGTGGAAAAATGGTCTTCCATGAAACTGGTCCCTGGTGCCAAAAAGGTTGGAGACCGCTGTATTAGAGGATGGGGCTGGAGCAGTTCAGGGATGCCCTACAGGGGCACCTGAGGTCAGGAAGATGGTGCCAGCGGCAGGACTAGGTATGGCTGTACCTTCAATATAGCCGGAAACACCTCCGACCCCAGAGCTTGTCTATCCTTTCTCCCCTGAGCCCCTCCAGCCACCTCCTTGCTCAAGCCGCCTTCCAGGTCTCTGCCATCGCCCCGGCACGACACCAGCCTACCTGATGTTGATGAAGCTGCCCGAGGACACGTGCACATGCTCAGCCAGGATCTCCAGCAACTTCACTCCTGCAGCCAGGCTCAGGGGCCTGGAGATGGGATGCAGGAAGAGGAGGGAAAGTGGGGAACCCTCTGTCACTTTCTTAATACAGGCCACCTCCAGCGGTGCAGAGCAGCCTGCATCTCTGTCTCCTTCGCATGTGGATTTCTGCTCTCTGCTTCTTGCCAGGCAGGCCAGCCCCACCCCCAGTGGCCTGAAGGCTTCCCCAGGCTGAAGCTCTTACTTCTGGTCAGTGACGATGTAGCCATACTCCTCTGCGGATGGCCGAGCCGAGGGCTGTCCTGCTGCCGTGGGCTGGCCCTGGCCCAGTGGACTCTTCTTCTCCAGGAGGACAGGTGTGGCAGGGTGGGTGGCAGCTTTGGGAGGCTCAGAGGAGCCAGGGCCCAGCACCTGCTGGACTTCATTGGAGGTGGGGCTGGCAGTGGGGTGTCCAGGCAGGGAGGGCGTGGGGGGTGGAGGCTCTGCTGTGTCTCTGCCTTGCGCTTGCCCCTCCATTGTCTGTTTAGAAGAGAGGACGGAGGTGTGGCCTCTGGATAGTGGAGGGGCTTGGGGGAAGGGGTCTACACCTTAGACTCTGTGCTCTCCACAGTAGAGCTCAGGACTTGCTCAGCTTTCTACCCCCCGGGCCCAGGGCCGTGCTGGGTGCAGAGGGCACCCAGAAAATGTGAGCCAAGTGGACGAATGAATGAATAAAGGGTTGAATGAGTGGAAAATGGTCAGTAATGATCCACAGGCCGGGGCTGGAGTGGGAACGACAGCCAGAGTGAGAGAAGCTGGGGTGAGGGTAGAAGATGGTCAGGGAAGCAATGGCTTCTAGACTTTTGTTTAGCTACAAAATCTTAAAATACCAACACATGAAATAAACAGAAGCAGAGCTCCTCCAACTACAGGGGGTCAGGGGCCTGCCTGCTTGCAACCTCCCCCTTCCCCTAGGGATTCTCAGAGCACAGTAGTGAAAAGAACAGTGAATCGAGAATTCTGGCTGCCAGTCCCAGCCCTGCCATCGACTTGATGTGAGACCGTAGGCAATCGCTTATAGTCTCTGGGCCTTGGTTTCCCCAAAATCAGGGGCTGGAGGATACAGATTCTGTGTCTCGATCCTGAGATTTGGGTTTCGGCAAGGGGGTGTGCTGCCATGGGGCATTTATGTGTCAAGGAGGCACTGGGAACTCACTTTCTTGATATCAGCTCCAACATTTACAGCCCCTCCTGCAGAGACAGGAAAAATAAGAGTCTGGGAAAATGGCCAAGGCCAAGGTCCACACGGCACAGATGGGAGAAAGGGTCAGAAACCCCGAGCCTGTTACATCTGCTGTGGTCTCTTTCCTCTCAGTCAGAGAGACTGTTCTTGGGCTCATCCTAAGCACAGCCTCATTCTTCTTTGCTTCCTCCTTATAATTCACTGTTTTATTAGCTCCTCCCTCTGGCCCTGGCCACACCTCCCAATAGTAGTCTTTGTTCAGTCCTTCCTCTACCTATCAATTATTGGCTTCTCCTTAGCACTGGCCACGCTCCTCCTTAGGACTTTATTGTCACCAACCCACCCTTCCTGATGCCTCCTTATCCCTGCTCATACCCTCTGTTGGCTTCTTTTTCCACTACTTCCACCCTCCAGTCTTTCCTGGCCTAACTCCTCAGCTCACCACCCTACCGTCCTGCTCCCTGACCTGTGCTGGCAATGACCCTGTGTCTCAGAAGAACTCTTCCTGTGAGCCTGACTCTTTCCCTCCAGGCTGCTCCATGCGGTCTTGAGAGGTGGGGAAAGAGGTCTCCATGGAATTGGGAGATGCCGGGCTCTCTGCCCAGATGCTCACCCAGATTTCTTCCTGCGCCCTTGGGCAGCAGCTGCAGCAGGGTCAGGAGGGTGGAGAGCTGTTCGGGGGTCAGCTGGCGCAGCTCCACGCCGTAACCTGCCAGCACAGCCGCCAGTCTCTGCAGAGTCGCGTCTGCCAGGAGCCAGACGCAGGGCTCAGAGCTGATGGCGGGGTGAACTTGTGCGATGCAGTCAGGGAGGGAGGGGACTAGCACATTTAAGAGATTCTGCTCAAACACCAGGACACTGATGCCCTCCCCTTCCCAGCCCCTATCCACACTTTAGGGGAAAGGTCTTCCTGGGGCCAAGACCAAACTTCAGCCCTGCCATGGGGAGCACTCTCCACGTGGAGAAGAGCCATGTCAGCTCCACTCCCCACTGTATCCCCATGGCCTCCCTAGTGCCTGGCGTAAATCAGCTTGTCCATAGACATTAGTTAAATGTAAGAATGCCTTTAACGACAGGTTAACAAACGTATGGATAGGCAGGAAAGAGCCGCATGGTTCCCCAAAAGCAGCCCTCACGCTGTTACCTGGCTGCACTGCTGGGGAAGCGGGTTTCTCCCTGCGACCCCCTGGTCGTTCCTCCTCATAGCCCTCCGAGTGGTCCTCTGCCTGGCTGCCGCCCCCTTGCTCTGGCAGCCTTGGCACCCTGGCCCTGCTGGGCACTGGCAACTCCTGGGCTAGGTAGAGCAGCCCGGAGTCCTGGAAAAGCTGAGCAGGTGAGGGCCCTGGAAGGTCCCTATGGGAGTGGCCAGGGTGGTCCCCAAACACGCCCTTGGAGGCAGTTCTGCTGAAGAGGGCAGGAGCTTCAGCCTTGGGCAGGGGGTCGACACTGACCATCCCTGGGGAGCTCTCTGAGCCCCGGGAGCCATCACGGGAGCCAAACTGTGGGAAACCAGAGACCTGGGTAAGAGCAGAAGTCAGAGCTGGGGGACTGGGGTCGGGGTGGGGCCAGAGAGGAGGGCTCACCTGGTGGAACAGGTAGGGCTGCAGCAAGGTAGGTTCATAACTCAGGGCAGGGTGGGGAGGTGGCGGGGGCAGCAGCAGATGCTCCAAGAGAGGGGGCAGTAGCTCAGCCTGCAGAGGGGACAGGGGGGAGCCCGCCCCAGCTCCGTCCCCAGCCACTGGTGGTCGTGGAAGCCGGTGCTGGGCAGCAGGGGCAGAGCCAGTGGGGATGCCTTGGAAAAGCAGCTGCCCAGTGGGACCAGGTCTCCTGGATGCCAAACCAGATCTGGGGAGGAAAGCAAAATGTGTGTGTGTGTGTGCGCGTCTGTCTGTCTGTCTGTGTGTGCTCACTGTGGGGGGCAAGGGCATAGAGAGCCTACAAGGCAGAGGTGGTGGCGGCCACACAGGCTCAGCAGTTTAGAGTAGGCCTGGCATCTTAAAAAATGAGGTGGCCTCAGGGGAGAAGTGGGCCAGGTGGGCATGGGGATGGGCCAGCGGTCTCTGCCTCTCTGGTAAGCACACCTGGGTCTCCGAAACACAGTTGCGGAGGCTGGGGCTGGAGGAGGGGAGAACCGGAGCAGGAAGACAGCTGAGACTTCTCTGGATGGATTGTGGCTGCAGCTGGCCCCGCTGCCCTGTGTGCCATGTCCCCACAGCTGCCTCTCCAAGTGTATGCTCGAACATTCAGGACTGCTCCTCCACCCCCCGCCACTGTGTCTCTTTCATCCTGATATCATCATCTGGGCTCCAGGGACCTCGTTTACTTCCTTCTGCTTTGCCTTTAATTTAGAGGCCCTGACCACAAAAAGATGATGGTACCTTCTGCCATATGGAAGTCCACATAGTAATGAAACTGAACATTAAAAAGCTTTAGGCCAACAAACTTCTAATTTGTCTCTGATGACTACTTTGATATTTCTTTTAAAATATCTGATGTCAAGGTTTTTTAAAAAGCATTTTTTAAAATGCTCCTGTTTTTCTGGATCCCCAGGGATGAGCTCAGCTCCTGTTGGGTATGTGAGCATATCAGACAGTGGCCATCCCTGAACCTCTTTTACCTGTGCCCCAGCATGCTGGCCTTGGTACCACTTCCTTCCCCCTTTCCTCCAAGACCACAGACCTGCCAGCCTCACCATGCTAGTGATGTCAAGAAAGGCTGCCTACCTGTCCCTTGGATGGGGCTCCGGGGGCCGGAGCCTGGGGATGCGCTCCATCTCCTGGGAGATCACATATTGGGTGAGGTCATCATGCCAGGACAATCCTGTCAGGGGAAAGGATAGGATGAGGTTGGCTCGGGAGTCACTGGGATCAGAACTGCACTCCCTACCCTGTAGTGCATTGGATTTGTCAGAGCAGAGGGGCAGTGGAGGGGGTCTAGAGACCCAGGGGTTGATCTGGGCTGTCCTCTTCCCACCCGCAGGCACAGCTATTGGAGTCAGATTGCCTGGGTTTGAATCCTGCCTCTGCCACTGATGAATTGTGTGACCTTGGGCAAGGTGGTGAACCTCTTCAAGCCTCAAGTCCCTCATTTGTAAAATGGGGATTTATACCTCCTAAGATTGTTATGACAATTAAAATAACATATGTACATACCAAATAGTTAGAATAGTGCCTGTCACCTAGTAAACTTTCAACAAATGCTATTATCATCATTATTATTACTACTGTTATTGTCTGTTGATCCTGAACCTCAGTTTTCTTTATTCATAAAGTGGATATAATACATATTTCGGGGAGCTGTTATGAAGATCAAGTGTGATCAGGGAAATTAAAATGCTTAGAAAACTCTGAAGCACTAAACACGTTTTAAACCCTCATGTCATTGTCATTGTTGTCATCATCATTGTCATCATCCTCATCATCCTATGTGAGGCATATCTCCTATTTGACCATTTCCCCCCAAAATTCTGCTCTCAGGAAAGGTCAGTCACCTATTATAAAGAAGTATTCTCTCACTCTTCACCCTCAGTCTTTCTTCTCTGCTTCTGGACTTATAATCTGTGCTGCTCTTCACTCATTCTGGGATCTGCCAACACCCATACCTGCCTTCTTGCCTATTAACATTAGGCGAAGTCTCTGTGTTCCTATTTAAAGCCAATTCCTCCATTTGAGCACTAGCTTTCATCCCCTGTCACCTACTCAGGAACATCCTCCCTGCAAGTCTCTGCTCTTTCCTACGTTATCATTTTCTTTGTTCTCTATGAATTATTCCCATTAGCATCTAAACGTGAAGCAATTTCTTCAACCTTAAAAAAATACTGCTTGATCCCACATTCCCCTCCAGCTATCACTCCATTTCTTTGCTTTTTCTTTGCAGCAAGACTCCTTGTAAGAGTTATCCATATTGACTGTATCCAATTCTTTTCTTTCCATTCCCTCTTGATCCACTCTATTCAGGATTTTATTCCCAACTATCGTACCAAAGTTGCTCTCATTCACGTCACCAGTGACTTCCGCATGTCTAAATCTGGTGGTAGATTCTCATATCTCATTTTACTTAACCCATCATCATCATTTGGCACTCTTGAGCACTCCCTCCTCTTTGATATCCTTTCACTTGGCTTCCAGGACATGGAACACTCTTGTTTTTCCTCCTACTTCACTGGCTTCTGCTTCTCAGTCTCCCTTGATGGTTCCTCTCCTTCTCCTGGTCCTCTTAATATTAGAGTTCCCTAGGGCTTGATCCTTGGTCCTCTTCATCATAGACGCCCAATCCTTTAGTTACCTCATCCACCTCATTGGTTTGGTTACCCTCTATATGCCAAAGAATTCCAAATTTGTATCTCCACTTCAGACCTCTCTCTCAAAATTCAATCTCATATACTCAACTCCCCACTCTGTTTGAATAGACATCTTAAACTCAATATATTTGAAACAGAACACCCCACCCCAAGTTGATCCTTCTGCAATTTTCCCCATCATAATTAGTGACATCTCCACCAATCCAGTCGTTCAGGCAAAATAACCTTTGACTCCTCTCTTTACAGCCATATCCAATATTTCATGAAATCATACTGATTACCTTAAAAATATATACAGAATTCTGTCATTCTTCATTACTTCCCTGCAACCACTCTGGTCCAATCCATACCTCTTATCTGAGTTATTGTGGTAGCTTCTAACGGTCTCCCTCCATCAATCCTTAACTCCATACATTCTATTTTCAATACAGCAACAAGAGTGATGATCTATAAATTAGATCATGCACCCCTATGCTCAATACCTTGTAATGATTTCTTCTTTTACTTAAAGCCAATGTCCACATGTTCTCCTATGAGGTCCCACAATGCTCTGCACCCCTTGCCCATCACCTACCTGACTACACCTGCTACTCTTCCTCTCCACCACTCCTCTGCAGTCCCCTGGCCTCCATGATGTTCCTCAAACTTGTGCTCTTGCCTTAGGGCTCTTGTCCTAGGTGTTTGGTCTTCCCGAAACACTCTTCTCCCCATAATCTCCTGGTAAACTCCCTCACCTCCTTAGAATCTGTTCAGATTTCATAGTTTCAGTAAGGTCTATTTTGACCACTCAATTTAATACTGCAGCTTCCTAACTCACCATTCCTAATTCCTTTATTGTGCTGTAATATTCCATGACTTATCATCGTCTAACATATTATATATTTTCTAACTTATATAGTGTGTTCCCTCCAGTTATTCCCTAAACATAAACCCTAATAAGCAGAGATCTTTGTTTTACTCCCTGATTCATACCAAACACGTAAAACTATGCCTGCCACATAGTAAGTACTCAATAAATACTTGTTGAATGAATGAATTAAACGAGTGGGGTGTTCTCCTGAATGAGGACCCCAAGATTCATGGATCTGGAGCACTCAGACTATACTACGGGCTGGTCCTAAAAAGATGGATATGAGCCTCTTCCTGTGACTTCTTCTAGAAGTCTCCTCTAGGCTCCTCCAGAGAGTCCAGATATGAACAGCTCATCTCTAGGGTTCTACCTCCCACTCCTATCTTGCCTCCTTTTCCAGAAAGATCTGGGAAGATGATGCTCTGGGAAGAAGTGGGTGTGATAGGAATGTTCCATGAGGAGAAGTCCTCAGGTCAGGTGGCCCCTCACTTCCCCACTCCGATAACCAACTTCCACCTCTCCCCTCTGGTGCACTTTCACCTTACCTTGGGACATGAGCTGTCGGAGCACACCTTGTAAGCGCTGGAGAACTGGGGAGGTGACTTGCAAAATGGGCTGGGCCTGCCCCACACCCACCTGGCACTGTCCAAACAAGCCATCTAAGAGCACAAAAACAATGTCAGCAGGTGGCTTGAACAAGAGGCCTCCCAAAGTTCAGGTTGTGAATGGACAGCACTCTCTCCACCTCCTCTCCTAGCCTCAGAGCTCTGCTCCCCCAGGCCAATGTCCCTACTCCCCAAGCCCAGTAGCCCTCCTCCTTTCCAGCCCCCCACCCCCGTTTCTTATTGTATCACCCATCCTGTCAGTTCTATGCCTGGACCTCACTCACCCTGAATACAGACTTCGAGGTGAGAGCAGAGTCTGCGATCAAACAGACAGCCTGTAGAGGGACAGGTGAGCAGAGGCTCAGACACACACAATCATAGAATGGTTGGAGGGATGGACAGGCTGGGAAAGAGGGAAGCAGACGCAGTCCATTCTTTCATTCTAAAGAAGGCTTTAAGCTGGGAGTAGAGTGGGGAAGAGGCCTAGAATTCTTAAAAGAAGGAAGTGTGGGATGTGGCTTTGGATACTAAGGATCTGCGAGTCTGAATCCTTAAAAGCCTCAGTTTGCTTAACTGAGTGATGAGGAGAAGAAACCTTCCAGGTGCGTGGGGGGAGTAGTGATGGTGGAGGATCACATACTGTGAGAACAAAGGTTCTCACAGAATTACTATGCAGGTGGTTTTGGTCAAATTCTAGGGAAAAGAAAACTTTCCTACCCAAATCTCCAAAAGCATTCTAACTATGATGGCCTGGAACTCAGAAGAGGTGGAAACCCTAGCACGCCTTCCCCCCCCCCGCCCCCGCCCCCCTGGGGTGAAGGAGCAAGGGTGAGTTGTCTCTAAGGCAGCGCTTCCCACACTGTCCCAGGCCCGAGCCGCTGGCGCTGTCCGCGGTGCTGAAGCTTTGAGTCTGGCTCGGCCAAGGGCTCGCCTGGAGGCGATTACCAGAGAGGAAGGGGTGACAGGGCGAGGAGTCTCCACAAGACTTGACCCCTCCCCGTTCTATCCTGTCAACTCATAGCGTCACAGGAAGTACCCTGCAGTGGCCTCCAAGCCCGGGTGGGGGAACAGGGCACCAGGTGGCGAGGCTGCGCCCTTTCCCCCACGCGCCACCCTCCCACCCCCACCCCCCGGCCCGTGAGTCAGCGCTGACTGTCTCTGTCCTCACAGATGTGAGTCAGCACCAACCCTGGCTGTGGGGAGGGGGACAGCAGAGGACCCTCCCCTTTTCATCCTCTTCTGCCCCCTCCCCCAGCTGTCTCCCTCTTATAGGAGATCAGATGGCAGCGATCGGTCTCTCTAGGCCTAAAGAGAGGCCCTGGCCCCTCCCACATCCCAATCCTCTACGCGGAGCTGGGACCCCTTGCTGCGGGCCCCGCTCTCACTGCCCAGAGATCGTTCCCTCTCCCTCCCGCTACTTCCCTGCCCCTCCACCCTCCTATTTCTCAGCGCTGATCACCACCTCCCTGGCGCTTCAGTGCGACTTGCTTCTCCTATGGTCTTGCAGCGGGTTTCTGAGTCCCTCTGCCCATATGCACCTTAATTTTGCTCCCGAACCCGCAATCTTCCCCTGAGCTCAATTCTCTTAGGTCCCGCCCCGTGTTCCCAGCCCCACCTCCAGGCCTACGCCCCTTTCCTCCCTGACGCCCTCTCACCTTCTTCCTCTCACAGTGCCTCCCCCCGACATTTTCTACCTGAGCTTCCTACCTTCATGACACTTCCCCCCACGGCCCACCGAGTTTTGCTCCCGGCCCCATACTGCCTCCCGCCCAAGTTTCCTCCTGACCGTGGGCGCTAATGGCGCTGCAGCCCCCCGGGCGGCTGCTGAGCAGCAGGAGGCAGAGGAGCAGCCGGAGACCTCCGGATCCCCCGAGAGCCCCCGGCCGCCGCGGGCGCCGCATCCTTCCCGGCTCTGCGCGCTCGCTCCTCGCCGGAGCCGCAGCGACGCTGGCGGGCGCCTGCCGGAGGGGCCAAGGCGGGGCCTGCCACTCCCCACCCACCTACGAGGCGGGGTCTACATGCCCCTCTCGCGGCAGCTCGGCAAACCGCAGGCGGGTGGTGACGACATCTCCACCCCCGGCTCTTATGCTTATTGGCGTCACGCGTGGCGTAAAAGCCTCGTCTTGGCGGGGGACCTACCCAATCCATCCCTCCTCCACCAAATAGTAGGCGCTTCACTGGAACTCCCATTTGGCCCCACCCCTTTTTGACCTATACTCCTCTTCAAGGACCGTCACTTTTATCTCTCAGTCCCAGGGTTGGCGAAGAAAAGGGTTACAGTTGGGTGGGGGCCAAGGAAAGACGGGTGGGTTGGGGAGTATGAACCGTAAGATGTGGAGCATAAAAGTGAATCAAATAGGCATCTTTATTAATGGTCCTGGTGTCTTCCTTAAGAGCAGGAATGGTTACGTGTGTGTCTGGATTCCAGTTCTAACAGTGCCACCTGCTAGGGGTATGACCTTGGGCAAGTTGCTTAACCTGTCTGCGCCTGCTTCCTGATAAAGGAAGTGGAAGTGCTAATGGTACCTACCTCACAAGGTGGTTGTGAGGATTAGGTTAGTTAAACTCATGTGGATCACTCAGAACAACGGAAGTACTGGCACACACTAAACACTCGGTACACATGAGCTTTGGCTCTCCTTTCTCTCGCTGTCTCCCACCACGAGCCTACCAACGATCTTATGGTTTCTACCTGCAAAATATATCTCACATCAGTCCACTTCTCTCCATCCTCACTACCTGATCTAAACTACTGTGCTCTCGCATCACTGGCTATTGCAGTAATCACCTAACTGGTCTTTTGCTTCCACTCTTGTCACCCAATAAGTGGGGAGTGAGGCTTCTAAAGTTTAAATTTGATCACTTTACTCTCTTGCTTTACAGTAAAATACAAAAAAAAAAAAAGGACAAAAGTGCACAGTGAATACTCATATACCCATCATTTAGATTTAACAGTTGATATTTAGCCATATTTGCTTCTTTTTGGTATTCAAACATAAATGATAGACATCATGATATTTTCCTTAGAAATATTTCAATATGCATCTCCAAGAAACAAGGACATTTCCCCACATGACCAAAATGCCATATGACGCCTAACAAAATTTACAACAATTCCCTAATGTCATTTAATGCTCAGTTCATATTCAAATTTCTCAAATTGTTTCCAAAAATGCCCTTTTCCAGCTATTTTGTTCAAAATCGGCATCAAAGACCACCATTGCATTTATTTATGTTTCTTAATTCTCTTTAAATTAGCATAGACACCATCTCCTACCCCCCATTTTTTTTTTTTTTTTTGAGACAAAGTCTCACTCTGTTGCCCTGGCTAGAGTGAGTGCCATGGCATCAGCCTAGCTCACAGCAACCTCAAACTCCTGGGCTCAAGCAATCCTACTGCCTCAGCCTCCCGAGTAGCTGGGACTACAGGCATGCGCCACCATGCCCGGCTAATTTTTTTTCTCTATATATGTATTTTTAGTTGTCCAGATCATTTCTTTCTATTTTTTTGGTAGAGACGGGGTCTCGCTCTTGCTCAGGCTGGTCTCGAACTCCTGAGCTCAAACGATCCGCTCGCCTCAGCCTCCCAGAGTGCTAGGATTACAGGCGTGAGCCACTGCACCCGGCCCTACCCCCCATTTTTAACATTGTCTTTTTGAGAGACCAGAACTCCACACCTTCTGGATTTGTCTGGTTGTTTCCTCGTGGTATATTTCCAGGCATTTCTCCAGTGCATAATCTGTTTATCTTTTGTATTTCCTCTATAAACTAGAAGTTGTATATGAAGTAGTGATTGGATCGCATTAAAGAATTTTAAAAGCAAAATGCCTCCGATTATATTACTTCAGAAAATGCATGATGTCTGGTTGTTCCACTATTAGCGATGTCAAAATTGATCACTGGTTTAAGCCAGATCTTTGTATGTAAAATTATGCTTTCCTAATGTGACCAGCATGTAATCCATAGGATGATATTTTGGCACCAGGAGAATATCTGGTTCTCCATCAACTTTTCACCAAATGTTGTACTGTTCATTGATGATCCTTGACTAAATTTTTTCATTAGAGGTATTAAAATGGTGATTTTTCTAATTCTGTCATTCCTTTTACATTTATTCAATGATTTTATTTCCTAGAAAGGGCTTTCTCTGATCAACTGGGCTGAGTGACCCTGAAATACAACTCCAACTGGAAAGGTAGCATATATTCTTAGTTTTTTCTCTTTACCCATTTGCACAGTAATGAGTCGATATGGTGTAATAGTTACCCCTAACAATGACAAATACATTAAAAACATTTTTATGATTGTTCTTTTTTGAGTATTACAATAGAAGTATGGATTTTTATATATTCAATGTATGCCAATAAATCACAGTGATTATTCTTTTTGATATTCAAATGGTCCCAGATTAAACCCATGAAAGCTTTTTAAAGCTGTCTCTGGTGTCCTTTTGAAACATCCCATTAATCACTAAAAACTCTCCTGCTTTCTGTCACTCCAAGATGTACCAGGTTCATCTTTTTTATTCCCTCCTATAGACATGGAAGCAGCCATTTCTCTAAAGAGATTTGGTAGCTTTTGATAAAAACCAATTTTAGATCACAATCTAGGTTTTAGGAGTAATAATGGCTATTCAAGTAAATATATGTTAGACTTTTTTATGTTATCCTCTATTTGGCTTATCTTTTGTATTCTCTATTTTATCTTTCCATACCTCATTCTAGATATTTTCTTTTGAACTATATTCCAGTTTACTAATTTTCTCTTCAGCTATGTACAATCTTCTGTTAAACCCAAGTATCAGTCCTGAACTTGGCCAGCAACAGATGGTACACTCAATCAGAGTAAATAAGAAGCATTTAATGGAGGAACTATTTGTAAAGGTATGGACAGGCAAAGGAATATAAACCTTTGTCAACTCACAGCTGGTCATGGAGGGAGCCAGGGAAATATGTACCTTGGCTTTTCTCTCTTTTTGGCCTCTGAATTTGCCAATATCTACTATTAGCCAAATCCAACCAGAAGCCAGTGAGCAAGAGCTTCTGGTTGATGCAATCCATAGACATCAAACTAGGGGCACAGAGCAGGGTAAAGAAAGATGGAGCATGACTATGGGTGGGAAAATGGGGACTATCTAGCCTAGCTTATACTCTTGTTCTTTGTTTGGATGAAAACTTCTACCCTTATCACAAATGACATACACATCTCTTAATTCAGACATACTTTCATATGAAACCTAAAACATTGTCCAACACCAGTTCTCCCAATATAAAGTAGCTGGGAAGGGAAATGGGATTTAAAAAAAAAGAAACTTTCATGCCAACCTTTTTTTGGCACCAGTGTACACAGTGTGCACTACAGGTACACACTGCCATGCCCCGCTAATTTTTTCTATTTTTGGTAGAGACAGGGTCTCTCTCTTTCTCAAGCTGGTATCGGACTCCTGACCTCAAGGGATCCTCCTGCTTTGGCTACACAGAGTGCTAGGACTACAGGCGTGAGCCACCATGCCCAGCACATGCCAACTTACTTCAAACACAGCTTCTACAATCTCTGTAGCTGATCTAGAGGCCTAAATTGATAATCACAACTTCCTTATTCCTCCACCCATTTTATGATCTTCTTATCTTGGTCAGCACTTTGACTGGATGAGACTTTTGAACCAGCAGTCTGAGGCAAATCCTTATTTCTTCAAGATCTGAGTCTTTGACGTCGCTGGCTTTATTTGGTACCTACAGTTTCCCAAGACTCCTGGGAAAGATAATAGAAAGAGCCCATGTGAATCCCTTGGGTTCCAATAATCTTCTCTGCCTTCATTTTATAGCAGCAACTCAACTTCCCCCTGGTAATTGGAGTCAATCACTGTGGTTACATCTGTCTGTTGGTATATCTGTCTATTGGTTCAGTGGCCTGAGGAACCCAAAGTGACCTCACGTAGTAGTCTCAGTGTCAGTCCCCAATTTAATATTACTGTCTCTGTGGTGAAAGCATTCTTCCCTTACATAGTGGGATCTGAAAACTCTTTAGTCAGGAGAAGGGAAGCAAATATTTCTTCAGAGATTTTGAAACATAATAGTGAGAGGGGCCACTTTGACCTTTACTCCTTGGTTTCAGAACCCGGGGGATGGATAAAGCATTCCGTATGTTCACTGATGGTGAGTGAATGCTGACAGAGGCATTATGGACAGGAAAGGCAAATCCAAATTCATATCCAGAATATAAATCGCTTCTTCATTTCATGGTGAGAGGAATTTAGAATAAAAATCTGTCATCATGTTGCTGGTGGGCCATATGGGGTGCTCAACATGGACCTACTCTTGGCAAATTGGTATCCAGGTGTGGCTGTAACTAGATCATTCTTGGTGGGGAAGTCTATGCTGTTAAGCCCATGCACAACCTCCATCCCTGCCACAATATCCATTGGTACGTGGACTCATCAAGAAAGCCCCGGGGTGGCTGGGGACAGAGGATGACTGATATCCACAGAACAGCTCATTTCATTTGATTATTGACAGGCTTCTGCGCAGTCTATGTCTTTCGATGGTCATTCATTCAGGAACCATGACTATCTGCACACTCCATGTTCATTTCAAGTGATCCATTTCAAAACCTTCTTGTCACAGATCTTCAAATCTTGTTTTATTCAAGTCCCTGATCATCCAGCCAACCTCTTAGCTATAAACACTGTATCAGTATAGGCACATACCTCAGATCTTTTCTTCTTCAATTCCAAGTGGACAACAAGATACCAGCAAACACAGAGGGGATTTCTGTTCACTGATGGAATCTGCAGATGATTCCGAGTTGGGCTGCAACGTAGTTGCCTTCCACTTATGGCTGATACCTGCATTTTGTACAGACATCTGTAAATTAAGCCTGTACTTTTTTCTTCCTCTGTTAA